GGGGGGGGGGGGGGGGTAGTGATGTGGGGGCGATGGACGGACGCGCGGGGCTTTCGCAGACGGGGGCCTGGAAATGACAAACCCGAAAATAGCTTGGGAGGCGAAGTGGGCAACTAAGACGAGGAGCTTGAAAGCCCACCGAGTGGGCTAGGGTTCTCGATATTGACCACTACCAGACGTTGGCAAAGGAAAGCCTAGAGGGGTTCAAGGAAATGGATGTCAGAGAAACCGGAATCTACGAAAATGAACCAGGACGTTACGAATAGCTTGACGGGCATGGTCGTGCTGTACCATTTAGTCTGAGGTGCTACGTGCAGCAGCAGCGCTAGCGGGCCACCTCTTTTTCTTGGTGGTGGCGTGCCGGGGGTGTTTGATTACCTCTCGTGTGCATAATGTCGAACGTGGTGCATACGCATACGTGGTGCCATGCTTTTTACTCTTGTCGAGCACGCTCCATTTCCTGCACTGCCGGCTATCTTGAGGATGATGACCGTTCTGTTTGGCGTTGGGAACGGAACAGAGTGTGTCGTCTGGTTGATGAGTTGGGTGCATACGACGCATTCCCCCCTCACGTCTTTGAGAAGCCTAGAGGTGACGTGTGGGTACACGTGCCTGCGGTTGCTGAACGGACGGTCGGGTCCGGTGCCCCACTCCTGCTTCCGTTGGATTTTTTTTCAGCGCTGTCGAAAGGGACCATTGCTTGTAGCGTGTAGGGTGTTTTTTTGGTCCATGTTATATTATTGTGCCGCCTTGACTGTTGATAGCGCTGACACTTGCCAAATACAAGCATGTAAGATGTTTCATGTTGCACCACTATCTTCTTTTTTTTTGCGAAGTACATAGTTAGTAGTTGGAGGAGATTGGTATGACGAGGATATCTCAGCGCTCAACGCACCTTTTTGCAAATCACGTTCGTGGGTTTTGGCCGATGTAAGCAGATTAAGTACTTGTTTTTTTCCCTCGTGAACCGGAGGAGGGACCATCAGACAGACCGTTTCGACAACGACAAGAATTTGAGACGGAATCCATGCATGCCCGCGAGAAACACGCCTCCTTGTCCAGTGCACTCATGATGCAAAGAGCACCAAGAATAGACCGAAATAGGCATCTCTCTCTTTGTCGTTCGGAAGGGCAATCAATCACGAGAGGGAAAGAGAGAAAAGGTTTTGTGGCACACAATTCCCTGATTGGTAAAAAAAAACTGCCGCGGAATCTCGAGAGAAGAGGTTTTGTGGCACGCAATTCGCTGTTTGTGGTCAAAATACCTGCGGCGGAATTTCAAAAACAGGCACGACTCAAGGTCCTTGGGCGACGGGTGGTGTCGTCCACGGTGGAGGGATGCATGGGCAGGACAACGATGATGGTGTTGATCCAACTCGAATTGCTTCTTTTTTTTTAGGTCCGATGGTATCAGGTGGTATCACAAGTTTTTTGTTTTCTTGATTGTTTTCGTTATTTTCAAGAAGCGACACATACACCAAGTCACCTTAACTCTTTTTACCTTGACCAAAGTCAAGCAGAAAATTGGAGTGAGACCACCCACTCTTGTTTCCTCTTGTTTGACCCCAGCATGCCGTCAAGGGACCGGACGAAAACGCGATTGATTCCTCTTGAAGCTCATGCTTGGGATGGATGCGCCACACGCCCCCCCCCCCGTGCAAACACGTCCCCATCCAGGAATGAGTCGAGATGGTCCGGCTCGACAGAATATTGATGACGTTGTTTCGTCTGTTCGCAGTAGTCAGCCCTTCCGTGTGTCTTATGGACGAAATCTTATAATACGCGGGATACAGGTTGTAGAACAGTTAAGGTACTCTAGAGTGCAGCAACCGGCTTGCTATTCCATGGAAGAACAATGCTGCTCTCTACGCAAGAAATTTCAATCTTGGAAGCCAAGGTCAGTGGCTTTTCTGTGCCGCCCACGTGCCTCCGCCCCGCTGACCCGATGCCAGTCCGTCTCCAAGGGTATCATCATGCCGGCATGCGCGTGTTGCTAAAATAGGTCTTTCTCTACAATTCTCTCTATATTTCTCCCTCGTGCGGGTTCCGACGACAGCGAAAAAAACAAAAAAGCTCGCCACAAGAAGACGATTAGATACATACACGGAACCAAACGACGTGGCCGACATTTTGCCCCAAGGGGGGGACGTCACAACACGGTCACCCTCGCTTCACGAAACACAAGCTACAACACCCCCGCAAGGGCCGCGCAAACATCGCCTGCCCTTTGCTCAGACTTCGTTCGACCAATGATACCACGAAACCATGCCTCGGGGTGAAACGTGTCAAAACCCTTCGCTTGTTGCGCCTGTTTTGCTAAAACACGCCTCTGTCCCCCATGTATTGGGGGCACGAATCTATCTAGATTTCCCTCTCCATCTCGCGCATGTTTATAATTTGGTTGTAAGAGGAGAAAGAAACAAAAACAAAGAGAGCGTATTTGCCGGTCTGCGCGACGTAGTCTCGAAACAACAAAAGGAAAAACATCAAAATCTGTTGGGTGTACACCCCCCTCGCTTTCGACTACTACACTACTACACCACTACACACACCAAAGCGAACCACACAACCTACTAAATGGCGTTGCAGGACAACGGTGCTCTTGGTTGTAGCCGGCACGGACCGAAAAAAGGGTACGGCTACACACTTGTGGGCAGAGAAGAGTTCGCCACTACATGGCTTACGGACGCGAACACAAAAAAGAAGAAAAAACGGGCAGCGAAAGGTGGGCCTAAAGCACTCACAACAAAAATCGATCCTGCTACGCTTGCTTGGCCGGCGGGCCCGCGACGTCTTACTTCATCTTCATCGCGAGTTGCGCGCTATTGTAAGTGTCCGTGTCCGTTGGTCCCCTGCCATCTCACGACAAAACAGAAAAAAAAGAAAAATGCGCTCACTCGCGCTCTATGACAACCACGGACAATCTCTCTTGTTCGTTCTTTCTCCTCCTTTTACTTCTCAATACAGGAATAATTCAGACGGGGGGGTGCTTCTCAATACAGGAAAAAATCAATTCGGAACGGGGGACGACAGTAAGACTTGAAAAAAAAACAAAAAAAACGGCATCGCTCCGCCCCTTGTGCTACATAGATAACAACGCGTGGGCCGCAACAGACTAGACTGCGGCCGGAGAGGCACGCTGACTTCGGGCAACGGCGACCCCCAACTAGTGCACGGAACGGAACCGGACGGGACGGTACACGCAAGCAATGGCCCAGCTTCACACGGCGCACGATGTAGAGAAACACATGGTATGCATATATAAAAAACTGTTGGGGGCATCCGTATGATATCTTTCGTCCATACGATGTCTCGCAGCCATCGGTGCCTCTTGAGAATAGAATACCAAGTACAAACTAGTTTCATGTCCAACGAAGTACTCCTCCTGCACTAGACGGCGGGCTACCCTTCATCATCTTGTTAGTCCTGCTAAAACACAAGCCACAACAAATCACGATACAGCCAGCACTACGCCGCTCCACGAAAAAAGACAGGGGGGCAAGGAGTCTAGGGTTGTTCGCTCGAGGCAGTATTTGCCGCCGCCGCCGCCCCCGCCGCCACGCCACCCCCCCCCCCTCCTTCACTAACCACGTCTCCCCCGTTGATGACATCTCCCAGCAGCGCGTTGGACACCGCCGTTGCTGCCGCCACGTCCTCTGCCGTAGGCAGACCGTCGACCAAGTCGTTGTCCTCGCCCTCCTCACCGTCGTGTGGGGGAAGCAGGCACACATCTACGCCTAGCTTCTTGGCGTCCTTGGGGAACGGCTGCCCGGGGGGCGGGACGCCCTTAAGGGCAACGTCCCGCTTCACGCTCAGCATCGCCGGCGTGAACCTCTGTGAGAACTGTTTTTTTATGAAGGTTTTCGACAACGAACAAAGACGAAACAAACAAAGGCGAAATTTTGTGAACTGTTCGTTGCTCTTGTTAAGCTGTTCGGCCAAAAAAAAAAAAACACATACACACTCACAGGAGGATGTTTATTGCGATTGTGAACTACAGCTGCTGGGGATTTAGTTTGGCAGAAGGAAGGAAGAGGGGGGCGGAGTGAGGGAGGGAGTGAGGGAAGGGACGGGATTCCAAAGAAGGCTTTTTCCATCAATCGACGGTGCCGTTTATACGACGGACGTAAACCCATGAGCGGCAACCCATCGTTCTCGTCAGATCCGTTTCCAAGCTCACACCTTCCCGTGACAACTCACCCTTTGTCTCTATGGTAATCTCGTCCATCAAACGAGGAGCCCGTCTGTATGGTAATTTCGATGCTCTGCATGGACAACAACAGGGCGGCTATTACTGCTGTACTTGAAACAAAAAACGCCCACTTGTCACGTCTCTGACACCAAAGCCGTTCGGTGGAAGCCGAAATCAAGTAGTTAGCGGCTGGCTTCTGACGGTTTCATTTCGGACTCTAAAGGTCGCCGAAACCCCGTGCTGTGCTGAACCAGAGCGAAACGTCACTTTTGCTCAGGCGACAAATCAATCGTGTCCCGTTTTTCGCTGGTGGGCGGGCGGGCCGCGCGGCGGGCAACACCAAAAGCCAAGAATATATTTACTGTAACGTACCACACCAAGCTCTTCGTAGGCAGAGGCAACAGCAGCTTTTACTTACGTCCCCCTTGACGTCTCCTTTTCGCGCAAGCTCGACCAAGGTTTTTCGGAGGTCGGTCTTGGCGCTCTGCACGTCGTCCGACCTGGCCACACCAAAGCTCTCCAAGAGCTCTGACCCCAGACGGATGCTTATCTCGCTGGATGTAGGAACACGGGGGGGGGGGGGGGGAAGGGGAGG